CTAACCTTGCATTCAATTGCATTATAATAACAAATTAATGTTTTATGCAGGCGTGCCAGTCCTCGAACCTGACTCGTGCAGCCAACCAGGAACGAGTTATGTCGACACAGCCAGCTGCAGTGCAGGTAAGTTGATTTTAGCAATCTGCAAAATTTAAAAAAAGGGTCTGGCTCGTTACACAGGCCAGAAAGCTGTGGTGATCTCAGCATGCAACTCTTTCTCGAGTGGTGTTACGACCAAATTCTCGTTGTGTTGTCGCCAGATCTGCACGAAATGTCACAGCCTTCTTATCGTATTGTTGCTTTTAACCAAGCGAATCTGCCCAAACTGTTGCATCACTCTTGTCGTGTTGTTGTGATGTGATGTGAGATTGTCCGAGATGTCGGCCTACATACATGTTTTGGTCAACCTGTCCGTCGAATGAACCACTACGCCTCCTTGACCGCACCCCTAAATAAGAAAGACAAGTTGAATCTTTCACCGTGAACACGATTGACACTAGTGCTTCTGCACCATTACCCATCCTGAGAATGAGATTGATTTCTTGACCTCCTAACTGACATAGCTGCGTGGTTACTCTTCACATTCCAGCTGTTAATGTAGTCTTCCCCGTCGAATCATTCAATCTTTTGAATCATTGAATTTACTTCTGGAGCTGTGATCACACGTGACCGGCTATCATTCCAGCCTAAGGAAAGAATGAACAAGGCAAAGTAAATCTAAAAACAGAGTTGCAGTGTTTAGGAGACGACTCGTTGATGGCATGAATACATGTACTAACCTCAAATTGAAGGGCTAACAAATTAATGTTTTATGCAGGTGTGGCACTCCTCGAAACTCACTCATACAGTCAACCAGGAACGAGTTCTGTCGACACAGCCAGCTGCAGTGCAGGTAAATTGATTTTAGCGATCCGCAAAATTTAAAAAAAGGTCTGGCTCGTTACGCTGGCCGGGAAGCTGTAGTGATCTCACCATGCGGCTCTTTGTCGAGTGATGTCACGAGCAAATTCTTGTTGCGTTGTCACCTATCTGCCCGAAATATTGCAGCATTCTTGTCATAATATTGCTTTTAAGTGGTGATGGTACAAACTTTTCTTTGAGCCGAGATTCGGAAAGGTTAGGATAAGTGACCGAATCTTGCATTGCGTGTCAACCTCTGGAGTAAATCTAGTCATAGAATAATCCTGGTCAGCACTTCTAGTATAGAGACAGGGACATTTTTGTCTTAGAATTCTTCACCTTGGAATGTTTGCGTCTACGTGCCACAGCCAGCAAACTGTCATACTTTTCCCGTCGTTTCTCTCGCTAATTAAGCTAAAATCACGTAATCAAACTTGTTATGTAAAATTTTTATTTTTCAAACTAAGAACTAATAAGATAAAGATAGTTCAGAGGGGTACGGAAACGAAATTCCAGCTCTCATTTTCTAGCTTAAATGTGTTGCATGTTGCACCATAACCTCAAAAACAGCAGTCTTTCGTTGGAAGGTGTGAAAAAACTTAATTTAAAGCTAATTAAGCAACCTTTCAATGTGCACCGTGTGGATGCTTGTGAAGCTTAGTTGGGAGGTCACCTAGCAATGTTGGGAATCTTGCTATGTAGTCATGATGTAGGAGGAACCGTTACATAGCCGCACTAAACATTGAAGCAGCGCCACTCTTTGGAAGTATGTTCAACTGTTTCAAGTTACCTCGGCCTGCACACGATTGCGAAGTCCCTGCCCATGCTCTTTGCCCTTTTACGAAGGAAGCCAACAAGTTGCCATGATGGACTTGTTGAGATGTCGCCACGCTTCTGCATGGCTGAGAACTGTGGTAACGACTGCTCAACAGCATTATGCGGATGAACAAGTTTCCGAACAACGAGAAACTTCGTGCCCCGTGGATCTGGCTCGCACGTTTGTCATTTCCGACAAGGGTTCCGACGCCTTCTGCTCGCTTTCTGAAATGAATACAGAGAGGACGGTGTTGGTGCCCTCGTCCTCACTCGTGTTGTTCAAGTTTATGTTCCCAAGGAAATGCTCCTGAAGCACCATTGGAGTGGGCCACACAAACACGACGCGCACGACTGGTCTCGCACGTGAAACGCTTGTCACCCCACGGGTACTTTGAACGGCTCGGTTGCAACGCTTGACACTGTTGACGCCACCACAACGCTAACAGCGTCAAAGCTCATAACCCCGCCAGCCTTGCTAGTCAAAAATGCGGGGAATCTTTTTTTTTTTTGTTGGTGCGTGTGCTTTTGCTTGCGGCGAATATCCCATGACGCATCAACTATCCGTTCGCTTCTTTGAGTGCTTGCTTTAGTGCACCGTTTGGAACGAAAAATATAACCAGTCATTCAAAATACAAACATGCAATTATCATTTACTGTTATTATCCATCATGCTCAACTCATTGTTGAACGAGATTTGTATATTTTAGTTTGTGTGCACTTTTAAATATGTATTGCCTGGCTCGAATTCTTTCTTTGTATATTTTTTTTTTTAGGAGTGCAGTTGATCTCACTTTTGGGCAAATTGAAGCAATCGAATCTACTAGCCTTGTGCAGACGGCCGAGATCCACACGCTAATGGTCAACCTTTCCGCACATAAGCTGGATGAGGAGGCATTAGAACAAAACCAGGGGCTGGTTCAGTTTTACACAGGCCTCCCCAACATCGAAATGCTCCAGGCAGTGTTTGACCTGGCGAAGGGCTCCGTGTCACACACACCCCTCAATTGCCTGAGCCAGTTTGAAGAAATGATGGTGCTGTTCTTACGTCTCCGTCTCAACGCACAAATGCTAGACCTTGCTTACCGGTAAGGAAAGATTTGTCACTTTATACATATGGGGATTTGGATAGTTTCTTGCATATTGGGACCTACAGAGGAGGCAGGAAAAGGCAAGAAGGCAAGGAGGAAACATGGGAGGACTCGGAAAAGGCGCTGCATAATTTAAACGACTACTGCATGTCATATAACTTAATTACGTAACTCTGCCGAGAGCTGCTTCTTATTATAATGCAATTAAATGCAAAGGTGCAAGCGAGCTGGACAATAATGACGAAAATAATCCCTGGAGAAGGGGAACAAAGGGACAAAGGACAAACACAAATCTCCAAACACAGGTCACCTAGCTGTGTTTGGAGATTTGTGTTTGTCCTTTGTCCCTTTGTTCCCCTTCTCCAGGGATTATTTTCGTCAGCTGCTTCTTGATGGTTGTTTCTTTGGATGTAGGCAAAAATGTCTGGCTTCGAAAGTGAATTCAGTATTTTAACTGGGCATCCACATTTTTTGCAATATTATTGACTAAGTGAGTTGCAAAGCCAAAGAATAAACCAGAATGGGATCTCTCAATTCCTCATGTTCCAAGATCATGCCTCAATTAATTTGGTGTTGCCGGTTGAATGTTCTTAATCATCAAACATAAAATAAATACTAATACGTGAAAGCATGAAATAGACGACGGGGACGGGAAAAACAGAACTTCTTTCATTTAGGTTTACAAACATTTTTTTGCTTTCCTTCAAGGTTTCATGTCTCGGAATCTACTATCTCAAGAATTGTTCACCGTTGGCTGGACGCTCTGTACCAGTGTCTCCAGCCCTTCATCTCCTGGCCCTCGAAGAAAGAACTTCAGGAAACAATGCCTATCGGGTTCCGAATGTCGTTTGGCGTGAATGTCGTTGTTGTAATGAATTGTTTTGAACTATTCATAGACAGAGCCACGTCAATGAATCCACGCTCATTGACGTGGTCTCAGTACAAGCACCACAACACAGTTAAATATCTGATAGGCATCTCACCCCAAGGTGTAGTGACCTTTGTTTCACGTGGTTGGTGAGGGAGAACAAGTGACAAGGCTGTAACTGAGTCATGTGGCATACTAGACAACCTTGTTTCAGGCGACTCAGTGTTGGCAGACAGGGGGTTTACGATCGCGGAGTCTGTTGGCCTGCGTGGTGCCCGCCTCCACCTCCCTGCCTTTACCAGGGGGCAGGCAAAACTGGCCCCCTGGGAGGTGGAGCGGACGAGAAAAATTGCAAATGCCCGCATACATGTAAAAAGGGTGATTGGACTTGTGAGAAACAAGTACCCAATCCTGAAGGCAACCCAATCCTTCGACATGCTGCTGCTGCGGGACGAAGACTTGACTGTGCTGGACCAAACGGTCTTTCTCTGTGTGGCACTGACTAATCTGTGCGACTCTGTTGTTCCCTCAGACTAGTGCAGGATTGGGACCAGGTTTGGTAATAATGATAAACTTATTGCTCAAACTCCACATGACAAGATTAACATTTTGCAATTTCATCAAACCATTTGTTGTAGGGATGTAAGAATATTCAGTTTTCAAGTAATGAATTGAACATATTTCACCATGCGATTTGTTATCAGAGTCTAGTCCAGTAGTCGTTTCTCAAAGTTTTGAATATTTTTCACATAATTTCTGACAAGTCTGTGGTTTAGCGCCATGAACGTTTTCTACAAAAGCACCTATCATGGGCCTCCCATCTGCACCGTAAAATATAACCGAGCTCTTTTGTTGTTTTATGCATCCACTATCTCTGTGTGGAGTGCAGGAACAGATGCAACTAAAAGTAGCATTATTTTTTGTGTTGCAAAGCACTGGGCAAACTGTGATAACATGTTATCTCATTTTTTGTTGGACATTCATTTTCCCCGTTTCACTTACACACTTTGTAATCAGACTCTAGTAGTCTACCCGAGCGGTTTTCTGTGATTGATATGCTTCAGCAGTTTGTGTTCTGCTAAAATCCAGCTCTAGTCGACAAACTTGCACATTCTCCTAGTTTGTGTCTATTTAGTTACATCTACTATGTGTCAGTTTCACCTAGCCTTGCATTCTTACAAAGGTTTGCAGGAAACCATGAGCTGTACTTTTGTAGACTGTGTAGCCCTTTATAAAATGCATGAACCATTCAATTCGAAAGATCACTCTTTGCACGCCTGTCATTTTTTTGTGTTGTGTGAAGTCTGAGTAATAATCACTGAAATTCGAGTAGGGCTGGATTTTCTTCTTTTAGTGTTCACATTTTTTCTTTGATTCTCTTCCACTCAGTTGAACATGTGCTGGAAGGTAGTCAATTTTTAGTTTCCAGACGCGATTTCTGCCTGCGACCAGAACATGTACAACAGCTCCGGCAGTACCACCTTTACAAAAAAAAGTCTTGCACTTAATCACAACCTCGTTATGAAGGGCAGCAGAGTCGGCATACACCCTCTCAATAAACATTGCCTCGGTGGTCCAGAGGGCAAAGTCACAGCGGTTCTTCTTTGCAACAAGCATCTGGGTTTGTACCTGGTAGTAGTATGTGTGGGTGGTCTTCAGTGACACCACACCAGTGCTCTCTTCCCGCTCCAAGCACTCTGGGAGAGATAGTAGCAGCTCGTCTAGTGTGCAGTGCCTTTGGAGGTAGGGGCACTTCACCTCCACGAGCCCTAGGCCACAGCAGCTGCACTCTGTTGCCCCATCTGGAGTGGCTGCGATAAACGGCAAGTCTGGGCGGATTAACAGTCCACTGTTCACACAGGTGAAGCTTGGATGCGACAGTCCCATCACGTCGGTGTATAGCTGTCGAGCTTCATATTCGTGTTCGATGCCCCAGGTTGTCGCAGGACTCTGAAATACACACTTCTCCGGGAGCCATATTTTCTTTAGGAGGCTCAGTGCTGGCGCATCCATTGACGTGTGGCACACAGCTCTTGCGGTGGACGCCGTCGTTCTACCCGATCTGAAGGCAAACCACTTGGCTGATCGGTGCTGTGTTCGTGTGTTCTCCTCTATCTTGTCTGCAACCTGCGAGAAAAATTGGGGAATATTGAAGGAAATTTATATCGTAACATAAATCGGGGTAAGATGCACAGATTTTGTGCACAAAAATTAACACTGAGTGTAAAGGACACCCATGATATACAATGACAGTAAGTGCACTTTGTCTACACCAGAGTACCCGCACTTCGTCTTAACCAAATGAAGCCAGCAACCGAGTAATGACTACAAGTCTGGCAGCGACATGCGTGTAATTTTTCCCAAGGTAGCGTAAATTCATTGATCAAAACTTTATGTTCTATTGTTCAGACCTAAAGACCGTGGCCACTTTGGTCTCAATTCAGCTGAAGCTTGGTGTAGTAATGGCTACATATGCTGCAGACAGGGAAAGGGGGGGGGGGGAAGAGACTCTTTATTACAAAGTGTTGTAGATGGGGAGTGGGGAGAGCAGGTTCCAGCAAAACAGAGTTTGGGGAGGGCACCGGACCAACTCTCTGACTACGTGCCTGGCTGTGGAGTTGTGTAATGACGAGAATTTTATGCAAAAAAGAGTTTATGCAATTTAGAAACTAGGCCAGTTGCGAACAGGGTGATTAATGATTGCTGTTGGAATAGCAAAGTAATAAATGACCTGCCTACCTCTTGGTCAAGCTTCAAAGAGCTTGCGAATGCCTCGCAGTCCTCCTCAATGTCCTCCAATGGAGGTAGAGGACCTCCCTTGAAGAGGTTGCAAAGGAGTACCTCCTTGTATCTCCCTTCTGCTGGGACGTATGGAGCAGAATACCCTGGTACCAGTGCTCACAGCGCTGGCTTGGAAGGAGCTTCCTTCAGCTTGTCGTAGAAGGCACTTATCATGGCTTGACTGGGCCTGGGCACATGCTTCATGAGCTTTTGTGGTGGTCTGGCAGCTTGCTCGTCCAGCTGCCTCTTCTTCATGGATGCCCAACCGAAGTCTATCTCGGCTACAGTCTTGCAGACCAGCCTGTTGACTATTGGTGGCAGCCACGCATTTTTCCCATCTGTGCAGGCCTGACTATCCATGCGCCTCACCACCACTACAGTGTACTAGAATACTTGGGTAGGGGACCGAAGGGGCTCGCCTGAAGCGGGTGGTATTGATCGCGACAGGTGTCGCGTCCGGCGCCTTATCCGGAAGGTGTGCGCGTGCGCGGCTGCACGCGCGAAAATATGAATCTTTGGTGCCGCTTTGGTGGAGTGCACGTAGGATTTCTGATACAGCTACGACCTGCCAGCGGTCGTACCGCGGCATCAATTACGCTGCGGCACGATCGTTAGCAACATGATGCTTCAATGTATTGGACGGTACAAGCTACATTACCCTTCCTTTACGTAAAAACAATTGCGACTTTAAAGAAGCGGTTTTGGTTTGTCGGATGGTGAGCATTTTAAATGAAATGCCCATTTCCTTGGTCGCAAATGCCGAACATTAGATATTTGAAAGGGATATCTAAAACTCGGAAGCGTTTTTTTTTTTTTTTTCTTATCTTATTTTATAACGGAACGAAACGGCACATACTAAAGTTCGAGATTGTTTTAGTACGTTTTTCCTACCCCAGGTTAACTTCTCTTTCTTCTTTTCTGCCCGTCTTCTTTTTCTTGACCTTAATCAGCTCGCTTCACTTGTCTCTCATCCTTGTGTCCATTTATGCGACGAACCACCCAAGCGACGGTCGCAAAGGGGTGAGAATCTCCTATTTCTTCGTGGCTGCCACGACCATCCGAGAATCACCCGACGTTCACTTGTAAGAAATGGCTTATAAGCCGTGACAATTTTTATCACGCGTTTTAACATTTAACTTAAGTCCAAAAACTGAGACAATGTGGGCTGAACAAGTAATGCTCCATAAGATTCAAAGAAAACAAGAAACTATTTCACATCATTTTGAGCAGAAAACATGAGCACACGTAGATCAGGCAAGGAAAAAGTTGTAATAGTTTACAGCACGGCATTGAAATAATGGCTACAATGTGCAGCGCGTACATGGTTACAATATGCAGCGCATTATCCTCTTGAGGGTAAACCATCTGAAACCTACACGCTCACAACAATACATTTAACCGACAGCTGCTTTCTGACAACCAGGTAAGTCTCGCCTGAGCTGGGTATTCGAAGGGAAACACCCATGGTTCCACAGGGGGCGTATCTGGTTCACGCAGACATTCAGGGTGTTTTTGTTTTATTCTTTACAGAACTTTACATATTTTACAAAAAAAGGATGTGGCAGATATGTGGATGCTGTCTTTCGTTATATCTGTAGGTTTCGGTGGACAATGAATGGGTGAATAACCGTTGCAATGTTTAATAATGAACCAAGATCTGTTAACTTGTTTATTAACTGCTTAATTGGCCATGGTGCAATTGCAGTTTTAAAAGGAGTCATTATTAAAGGCAAATACAATTTCGACAATTCGCGAAAAGGCAACGAGGTTCGGAAAATTAATCGTAGAAGTTTGCCTTTCTTCGCTTGATTCAGAAACCGCGTTATGAAAATAATACGTAGAATAGTAACTTAGTCGTCTTGATGTGTGGCGCCGGCGAGTCCACCGAAAAAACGCTGTCGAGTTAGTGACGAGGGGACAGAGACAACCTGCGTCATTCTTCTACGCATCAATATCAGCACAACCTCATTCGCGCTTTCAGCGCGCAGTTTTTCTAATTAAGTGAAGAAAGGCAAAATTTTAGCGATGAATATCTCAGGACAGAACGAGCGGGTTGGTAGAGATACTTAAGCTTGAGGAAGAAACGAAAATGGACGGACAAACACAACAAAAACGAACGCCTTGTTACTTTCGCTCAAAGCTCGTTGTTTGTTCGCGAACTTTTTAAATTAAGTTGGCCTTTAATGATGGCTCCCTTTAAAGCTGCAATTGCAACATGGCTCATCAGACATTTCATTTACCCTTTGCCTACCGCAAAAATTAAAAAAAAAAAAAAAGATTTTGAAAATACTGATTTTTTTTACGTGCCCTATACTCTGTTTCACCTTGTGTTGTACCGCAGGAAAGGCTACAAGCGCGAGTCCTTGCTCTAGGGCACATCTCGGCGGCACGAGCTCCCGTGCACCAAGGGCAGCTGCCAACGCTATGAGCTCGCGCTTCTAGCTTTCGATACATGTACCGCTCAAAGAGAAAAAAGAAAAAAAAAAAAAAAAAAAGGCGGGCTGCGCGAGCCGGATAATTCGACTACAGCGCGCCACGAACTGTCAATACACGCGTCCTCACGAGCTCCCGTTGCCGAGCCGCTCCGGTCCCAACACTACCCAAGTATTCTAGTACACTGTACCACCACCTCCATGTAGAAAAGGATAGCCGCAACGTGGAAACAGGCTTCAGCCAAGCCGGCCATGCAGGTGCAGTGTGCGGTGAGGACCTCGCCGTCTGGTCGTAGGAGGACCCATGGGAGCAAGGGCTTTGTGCTGAATGTCTGGGAGTGCTTTACCTGAAATATATAAGGGTACATCATCATTTCTGTGCACGCATTACATAGAACACAAAATGGCCAATGGTATAACTGGCCGAAAACGGTTTGGGTTGGGCAAACATTTACAGAACTAAGTATAAGCTCGTTGGTAACTTTTCCCCCACATCAGGGGACAACGTAGACGCGTGGCCACGTGGCTGAGTAGGATCATTTTGTTGTTAACTCGAGCAAACTCTCGAGGGGTTAAGGCGCCTTTCGGGGTTAGATGCTTGCGGTCGCACACTCATGAACACGACTGGGTGGAATGCGGTGGGTGATTTCCGCTCGCGGCGAGGCCACTTAAAAGCAAAAGCTGGTCAAGCAGCTTGACGCTGACATTTAAACGCACCAATAATTTTTATTCAAAACCCGCGTCCCGCTCAAGCGAAATGTTGGAGGCGCAGACCGACAACTCCGAGTAATGCTGCTCCGCGGTAAACCACGTCCCACGATGTAACACAGCGCTTTTACGCTAATTACGCAAGGTTTAGTCGTGCGACACAGGTTCAGAATACTACTATTTTTATGAATACCGGACCCATGCCACACAAACCGAAAAATGCATTGTGGTTACTGATTCACTTACTTTCGCGACACAGACGACATTCTTGTCCGGCAGGACTTTAAGCCTGGGCTGGCTCACCCATCCGCTTGTTAAGTAATTATGCGCTTCCAGGGACTTGGAAGCTTTGAACTGTTCTCTAGAGTAGAAACTTGTTCCGTTCACTAGATAGTCCTTGATGCCCGTCGTTTCCACTCGTGGATACAAGTTGACATCCACGAGAGTGTCCCCATCGTCGAGTAGAAGCGGATCGACGGATCCACACATCGCCACTTTCTGCTCGTACCGCGCCCGAACTCGTCTGGCGAGACTCGCGGCATATGCGCCTAAGATTAACATTGCTAGGCAGCACAGGGCAAGACACTCCGAAATGCGGAGATGGCAGCGCTGCTACAGCGAACTGACGCCGAAGACCCGCCAATATGGCGTACTGGGCGAAATCAGCCGGAAGTGACGTCTTATGCAAGAAGAGTATAAAGAAAAACCCGTCGCCAGATAAAATTCCTAATAAAAAAAAAGCGATGAGTGGGCTTTTAGTATCTTATTTTTGACTTTTCCAATCATCCGGCAAAAATAGTTATTTTCAAAGCTTATGGAAACGTACCAAAAATCATACCGATTCACAAAAATGGGAGTAATTAAGACGTCAGTAATATTTTCCACATTTCACTCACTTGCACGAGCTCTAAGTTGCTTGAACAAATAATATCTACACACCTAATGTCTTATCTGTAAATTTTTAAACTGTTGTTCGCATCTCAATACGGCTTCCGCAGAGGACTTTAAACAACAACTCATGTGATCGAAAATGTTCGCGATCTCTGAGACTATAAATTTCCGTGGTCAAACTGATATTGTGTTTTTTAGACTTTGATAAAGTAGCACATTCAAAACTGATACAAAAATCAACTCAAGTTTTAGAAATACACTCGTCACTCAATGGTTTTTGTCTTACCTGTCCGTTCGCGAACAATGTGTGAAAGTTGGATGGCAAGAGTCTATCCTCGCAAAAGTGGCTCCAGGTGTACTTCAGAAGGTGTCTTGGGCCCCCTTCTATTTTTGATTTTTAGAAATGATTTGCACAACGTCATTTCAGTACAAATCAAGCTATTCGCGGACGATTGTGTTACTTATAATAAAATAGAGACAGCGGATGACCAGATCTAGCTAAATTGCAATCTACAAAGAAAAAAAAAACGGCGTGATTAATGGCAAAGGGTGCAGAACTATAAAAACAAATCGTCTGTATGACTAAAGTAGAAACTGTTTTTTCATTGTGACTCTTGCATAGTTTCTTGCTGTTTAACAGTTTCTCCTGACAATTGATAGAATACCCATATTGCTAATGTTTTAAAAAGGGCTAGCAAAATATTGTGGTAAGGCGACACTTAGCTAGCTGAACACATGAAATAAAAATGCTTACGTATAAAAACTTATAAATCCGAATAGGCCTTAAAAACTGAGTATGCCAAAATCGTATGGAACTCTCGTAGCATAATAAAATGTCCTAAGCTAAACAAACTCCAGCGGCGAGCCTCCCGTTTCGTCTTTAATAAATATCGTCGCATTGCCTCGCCTGCTACGTTACATGAACTTGCAATCTTCCATCACTGAAATCCAGATCTAGGCTTGATAAACTTTATAGGTTAAAACATTATTTTCAAAATTATTTATATTCATGTTAAAATTAATAAATCCGACTACGTTGAAATTCTCAATAGCGAATTACCAAGGCATCG